CCATAGAAAAGCTGTAACTTTGCACGAGATGGTCTGTAAACAACGTCGGAAATGTTCAAATACACAGAGCAGACATGCCAACTATCTCAGTGGTTACGTAGTATGTGACGAAGCTCCAAAATTTTGCTCGGTAGACGTTAACCTGCACAGCCACTGAATAAACCTCAATCAACACCAAACGTGACAATGAGCCTGTAGTCCAGAACAAGTCCAGAATGTTCTAGGTCTAGATTGCTGCTCAGAACGTCCGACGAAATAATTCAAGTTCAGGATCATCATCTTCCAACAGCACAAACGTTATCCATTCATACTAGTACTGCTGAAGAGGGCCCGCCTTGAGCGGACTCAGTGAGCTATACAGGACATTTGTTGTATTGATCAACGAGACAACTGAAGGGTAGCAAAATCGGTTCTGCAGTGGCGTACTCTTCTCGACTCGATGTGAAAGGAGCGCGTGGTCAGTGATCCGACGCACAGCACCGAGAGGTACTTAAGACCAGGTACAAGGAACTTGCACTGCTTGAGATCACATCTCAAGGGGTGAATATCGCTCGAGTTGATCGGCTGAGTATGTCCAGACTGTGCAAGTAAAAAGTGGCAGATTGTAAGCCTGGAGCTTACAACATCAAAGAATCACGTGCCGTTTTCCCCATATATATATCGTAACGCCCTGCCCCATATACTTTAGACTCGGGTCTCCCCTTAACCACCACCTTGCTCATTTGTAACACGTTATCAAATAGACGGTTTTGTCTTGTTATTACTTGTCCGATTCGTCCAGTGTTTCCTGTCGCCACCACGACAGGCTTTCACTTTTTTTTTAACACCGACAAAAACCTCCTTTTCATTATTCAACCGCTGGGCTAACCGCCCACAACCCGACCCGCCAACCCGCCAACCTGCCTTCCTCGCGGAAGGAACCATCTGTCAAACAGCCCTTGACGACGTGTTCGCGCGCAAGGGAAGACAACCGAACTCACATACCTGAAGTCTCGAACCGTCCCATACCACCTACCCCTTCCATATCTCCGTCCTCATTAACCTCATTGTCTTCAAACAACACCAACACCACGCTCAAGAAGAAGAGAAACGATAGCGACTCTTCAGACTCTGACTCAAGCATCGCACGCATATCTTACCCGCTCACTCATACAATGGTGAAAAGCGCTACTGTTGACCAATCGGCACCGAACAAGCCACCCAAACTCTCGTCGGGTGAGCTCACGCCTGAAGTGCTTCGAGATTGGACCAATGCTTGCGCTACTTATTTCATGCATAAAGAGGTTGAGCCTAAGAATCAGGTCAAGATGATTGCGTTTGGAATGTTGGACGCACGCCTGCATACCTGGTACCTGGCACATAGAGTCGTTCTGGACGCTGGAACGTTTGAAGAATACATCGAGGCACTGAAGGACACCTGGCTAGAGATGCACTGGGATACGAGGCTCCGCAAGAAGGTGTTGGGATCCCAACAAGGCGCCCGCGCCTTCTATGAGTGGGCACTCGAGGTACAAAACCAAAACGCTCTACTGTACGGTAACCCCGCCCACCTATCCGATATTCAACTGCGCAACCAGCTTGAGGCTAACATATGCGACGACCTCACAACTGCCGTGCTTCGAGCAAAGCTCAGCGCTACTCTCACACTCAGAAAGTGGATTGAGGAGGTTCGCCACCTCGATGAGAAACGCCTTGAGGACATCGCAATGCACAGAAGAGTCGCGGAAGACTTTTACAAGTCCTCCAGACGCAGTAACCAAACTTATATAGCAAAGACGCCATCATCAAACGCATCTTCGTCATCCTCTACGACGCGCCTGGGTCCCTTGACCCTGGCCGAACGTACCCTTCTCGCGAACCATAACGGCTGCTTCAAATGTCGAAGGTTCTACGTCACTCACAGGTCAAAGGAGTGCCCCAACGGCGCGCCCGAAGCATCTTCTTACAAAGGAATAACAGAAGCAGATGCCGTCGCTGCTAAAGGGAAGAACAATAAAGTGACGAAGCAAGTCGCAGCCGTAGCACCAGTGACCGCCGTGGTGCCTTCGTCGGTCCTAGAGGAAGTATCGGATTCCGATGATGATACGTGCGTAGCTCCTTTTGAAACCGCCCATCTTATTTGGCCCTGCCTATTGGCAGGACCCTCTTCTTCTACTTTCGAACACGTGGATGCATTGATTGACCACGGGTCACATCTAGTTCTTATTGATGAACAAGTCGTAACTAGACTTGGTCTACGAAGACGGAAACTGCATGCCGAGATTGAGGCAAATTCAGCGTTTCTGGCGCCGTCGAGCACACCCTTCCGTTTCTCTGAATATGTTCATTTGGCTCCTTCGTCCCTTAATCATGATTGGACCTCTCGTACTATACGCGCTATTGTTGCACCTAATCTGGTCGTGCCCCTGCTTCTTGGGGGGCCTTTCTTATCACATAATTGCCTTCTTATAGACCACGAATTACGCACCTGTATCAGCAAGCCTTCAAATTACGATCTGTTGAACCCACCCAGCCTATCGCAGAAGACGCTAAAAGTGTTCCCTACGCGACGCGAAATGCGGCGCTTGCGCAAAGACGTGCTCCGAGAGCTCAAGGAAGTACTGACCTCCCATCTCGACAGCCATGAAACTAGTACAACGACCCCCACGACTCACGTGGTGAGCGCTTTGCGCAAACGAATTGACGTACTGGCCTTCATAGCGGCAAACAAAAAGGACCTCGATCGACTAGACTCAGAGATGAGAGCAAAATTCAGCGATCGATTCCCAGATGACATCCCTCATATCGATCACCTGCCCACTGACGTCGTTCACAGGATACGTCTCAAAGACCCCGACAAAATCATTCAGTGCCGGAGGTATAACACGCCCAGAAAGTATAGAGAGGCATGGGACACGCTTCTGAATCAGCACATAGAGGCCGGGCGACTACGACCGTCCAGCAGCCCTTATGTTTCGCCTTCGTTCTTGGTACCGAAGAAAGACCCCACAGCGCTACCACGCTGGGTAAATGATTATCGACTACTTAATGCTAACACAATCCCAGACAACCACCCCTTACCCCGAATCGACGAAATTCTGCGCGATTGCGCGAAAGGTAAAATCTTTGGGAAAATCGACATGACGAATTCCTTCTTTCAGACGAGGATTCATCCAGACGACATAAAATACACCGCTATCAATACCCCACAAGGCTTACACGAATGGACCGTTATGCCTCAGGGCGGGCGAAACGCGCCTGCGACACATCAACGGCGAATGTTCATGGCATTACGGCCTCTGATCGGAAAGATTTGTCACGCCTACCTGGACGACATAATCATCTGGTCTCAGAGCGTGGTCGAACACGTCAAAAACGTCAAGCTGGTTCTTGAAGCACTGCGCAAAGCTTCACTTTTCTGCTCGCCCAAGAAAACATCGTTGTTCTGCAATGAGATTGACTTTTTGGGCCACCACATATCAGCCGCTGGAATCGAGGCTGACACATCAAAGGTAAAAAGAATTCTGGATTGGCCAGTGCCGACATCGGCAAGCGACGTACGATCATACCTAGGACTCGTACGATACCTCGACCAATTCCTGCCGAAACTGGCGGACCATACACGAATACTAACGCCACTGACAATGAAGTCTGCGGACCACGAATGGCCTGGTTGGAACTCCTCTCACCAAACGGCGTTCGACGCGATCAAGCGACTGGTTGTTAGCCGTGACTGTTTGGGCACCATCGACCACGACAACATGGGCGATAACAAAATTTTCGTGACCTGCGATGCCAGTGATTGGCGAACAGGTGCAGTACTAAGTGTTGGAACTTCACCTGCGACTGCAAGACCTGTCGCCTTCGACTCGATGCAACTGAAGGACGCACAACTAAATTACCCCGTGCATGAGAAGGAACTACTGTCAATCGTGCGGGCGCTGAAGAAATGGCGAATGGAACTACTCGGGACGCCCTTCACCGTATATACAGACCACAGGACCTTGGAGAGGTTCATGACGCAAAGAGAATTATCGCGCCATCAAGCACGTTGGCAGGAGTTTTTCGCTCAGTACGACTTTGTGATCCAATACATCCCTGGAGAAGACAACACGGTCGCAGATGCCCTGTCTCGGTTGCCCCCAGAACATGACAATGCACCGCCATATTCAAAACGAACGTCTCGTTTGCCCTCGAAGCTACGAGAACAGGTTGGACCCGCTGCACTTGTTCTATCCATAAGCCCGGATCCGTCTCTGTTAAACGACATCATAGCCGGATACGAATCTGACCCTTGGTGCGTTCGACTGTCTCAACTAACCGACTCATTACCAGGTCTACAACGTCGGGATAAGCTACTGTACCTGAACGATAGACTGGTCGTGCCCCGCGTCGCACACCTGCGGGAAACAATCTTTCGTCTCGCACACGACGACTTGGGCCACTTCAGTTTCGACAAATCTTACGGAGCTCTGCGTCACTCGTTCTACTGGCCAAACATGCGATGGGAACTGGAGGAAAGTTATATACCGTCTTGCACGGAGTGTTCGAGGAACAAGAGCAGGACGACTAAGAAAGCCGGACCACTGCACCCCCTACCGGTGCCAGACAACCGCGGGGACTCCGTCGCAATCGACTTCATCGGGCCATTGCCCATGGAGAACGGATTTGATGGGATCATGTCGATGACAGACCGACTGGGAGCGGACATCCGACTAGTACCTTGCCGGATGAACATGACCGCTCCTGAAGTCGTGAACTTGTTTTTCGACAATTGGTATTGCGAGAACGGCTTACCACTTAACATCATTTCAGATCGTGACAAGATCTTCACCAGCCGGTTCTGGAAAGCGCTACACCGACTCACCGGCATCCACCTGAAGATGTCTACAGCCTACCATCCACAGACGGACGGCAGCAGCGAGCGGACGAACAAGACGGTGAACCAGGCGCTTCGTTACTTCGTGGACAGGCATCAAACAGGCTGGGTGAAGGCGTTACCGCGAGTTAGATTTAACATGATGTCTACGTTGAATGCTTCTACTGGTTATACTCACTTCCACTTGCATTTAGGACGCACACCGCGGAGACTGCCCCCGTTGACACCGGAGGGAGTACATGACGTACGCGAAATCTTTCCCACAGATATCAGCGGTGCACTAGAGACCATCATGTCCCTGAAGACCGACATCGCCGACGCGCACGACGCTCTGATGTCGACGAAGATCGGCCAAGCTGCCTGGGCAAACGCACACAGAGCAGAAGAACCAAAGTTCGCGGTGGACGACCTTGTATACCTCTCCACCGCGCATCGTCGGCGCGAATACCTGAACGGTAGCAATCAGCGAGTAGCCAAGTTCATGCCACGCTTTGATGGTCCGTACAAGATCATATCAGCACACCCTGAGTCCTCAACATATACACTCGACCTACCCGCGCACACCAACATCCATCCTACCTTCCACACATCCGAACTCAAGCGACACATAGCAAACAAGAAAGAACTATATCCCTCTCGCGAGCTCCAAAGGCCGGGACATATCGTGACGACAACAGGCGCCGAAGAATGGGAAATAGAGCACATACTGGACCGACGGCCATGAGGACGTGGATTCCAGTATCTCGTGAGGTGGCGCGGCTATGGACCTGAAGCAGACGTATGGATCGCCGGTAGCGAGGTAGAGGACACTGACGCGCTGGAAGAGTACAACGAGACATTCGGTTCTTCGGAGGATGGGAGAGTGTAAGCCTGGAGCTTACAACATCAAAGAATCACGTGCCGTTTTCCCCATATATATATCGTAACGCCCTGCCCCATATAGTGTTGCCGCCGGTGTGAGTTGAAATCGAGTTAACATCGACTCGACTCGGAAATTTACGCAACTCATGGCAACTGCCCCATGCGGTGTAAACATCGAGTTGCACTGCGAGTTGGTGATTGACATATCGAGAAGACTTTCCCATAAGCTTCCCTGGTATCTGATCAATGTTACTGTAAGTCTCTATAATCTTGCCGACTGTAGCTCGAGTATTTCATGCAATCTTGAGCACTTCTCCAGTGCTTTACACCTCGCCATTATACCCCGTCAATATGTCTGCCCTACTTGCTTCGTCGGTCCATATAAAATCAAAAAATTTCTACTTTTTTACACATGAGTTCTTTACTACCATGTACATACCCATAAGTCTCGCACTCATTGTTTTCACACATGGCGGTAATCGTGATTAGGATGCGGAACGAGTATATCCACTCTCATACAAAGTCGCCCTCGACATCTTACCCATACAGGCTTCCTCCGTGCCGTGCAAGCAAGCCTTCTCATCAAGCGTTCACGATATTGTAGCCATGATGAGTCATGACTGTAGAAATATATAATTCAGTTTCTGCCAAATATAGCTATTTATGCGCCAATAAATTTGACTTGCTAAACCAGAAAGAGATAGATCTGAGCCCGTTGATTGGTGGACTTAATTCCCGAACAACATCCAAACTCGCTAGTTGCACTGGTGTGTAACTCGATACAACTCGAATCGTTTACTTGTTCGAGTTCGCTAGCATCTGATATCTGAAACCGTCGCGAAAGCATCGTTCAACGATCCCTATTTGGCCTAGTCTCGGACGAGTTGCATTAAGTAACTAACTAGGCCAAAATGCGAACGGGGAACTGAATGACAACTGAATGACACAAGCGGTGCAAGATTATCATATCTAAACTTGATCAGGTGTGCAGATAATGAATTGCAGAACTAGTACTACAGGCAATACGCAAAAAATCTACATTAGATCTGTGTGCATCGTATGGAAAACCTCCTTGTCTGAAAATTTATTCAGGTAGTAATCATCACAGACCTCTAACGAGTTTGCAGCAGTTATCGTGCGATTCATCTTCGAACCATACACAGGGACGAGCTCGACGGCACAAGTAACAGCCGTCAGTGGAATGATGCTGCCAGGTCGGAAGATCCGACCTGTCTCATCCTGATGAAAGATTCGTTTCACCCTGTACATCCCAACGCTTGGCTCGTCAGCAGGCGTGGCTTTGATCTGGAAGTATTGAACGTATAAGAGAGGTGCAGCTTCAAGATAGCGAGGCAAAGTACGGCCTTTCTTGGCGGTAGGTTGGAAAACGCAACGCACTTGTGCGATGTAGACGTCTGCAGAGGTTGTAGTAGTAAGCACCTGAATGGCACCGCAGTAAAAATCTTACCATTACTCTCAGTTAATTGTACGAGAACTGCGTCACAATTCCCAAAAGGGAATGCCTCTGAGGGCGGATACGACTGGACGATTTGACTTGGCATGACAACTCGTGACTGGAAGTTGGAGAGGAGTTGTATGCGGAACTTGTTCCACGTCCTAACCGAACCTCCCCGACAGGTCCACGATGTTGTTGGGGCACCCTGGGATGACTTACTAATATACTCAGTGAGCGCCACAGCAAAGTCAGGAAGGGCGTAGGTGTACTGCAGATCGGGGACGGTAAATGATTTTCGATCAGGTGCGACCGTGACATGGAATGCAGCAGTAGCTTCTGCAGAAAGAAGTCCTGTTATGAAGTGGTTGCGGACTGGACGTGGACCATGGAAGCGCTTCTGCTGACTTGGGAGCGTGCGGGCTATCCATGCCAAGGTAGGATCTGTCTCTGCGACGATATCATCTTCAGCAGCAATGGCATTAACGAGCGGTGCGCCATGCGTCTGCAGGAGCGTGTAAAGATTGAAACGCTGCATGGTTTCGTCGCGATTGAGAATTTGAACAACCTGTAAAGTAAAACTCTTGGCTTGCCGGCTGGTCCTTTCGAATGGAAACTTGCAGTGAGTAATCAACAGCCGTTCGCTGACGTCTGCTGAGTACTGTATCAAACCACCGAGAGCTCTGATAGATCCAGCAAAGCTGTGAAACAACTCCAACTTTGGGATGAGAAAGTTGTCGATGGTTCCACGCTTGCCTCTCCGAGCACCGGCATCGAGGATGCCTTGTTTTAAGCGATGAAACTCGTCGAGGGACTGAACCATAGAAGCGATGGATGAGTCGGTGTGCACGGGGCTCTGTGCCTGATAAAAGAACTCGGTGAGGGCACGTATAGCATGAACGAAATCGGGGGTTGCATTTGTCGCGCCAGCGATAGTGGCAATCATGGTGCGTTCAATGTCGCGATGTTCCCGGCAAGTCATCTGGCTGATGTGGGAGACGCCAGAGCCAAAATGACGTGTTCCGACTCGTTTATGGTGAGCCTTGTAACGCGCATCGAGTTCCTCCTCCCCAACAACTTCCTTGCACCATTTTAGAGCATGGTCACCAAAAAACTTATGACAGGTGTGAAGGAGTTCGCCAGGCAACATATAACCAGGATCCGCAAACCTCCAATCTCTCCAAAACGGTTGATGGACGCCACTAAGCATCAACGATTTAGCTTCGACTTGGAAGCGCGGTACACTCCATGGATCAATGCGTTTGGATAGGTCGTAGATGAGCGTGAGCGTGTGTTGGCCTGTTCGAGGGGGATAGATATGAGCACTACCGAAGTCACTTTGAGTGGCCATCGTGACTGGTGATGCGTTCTTCGAGACACAAGCAACAAGCTGTGCTTCAGGAAGGTCGGCTGTGTAGGCGACAAGCGGAGTAAAACAGTGCCGGATATAACCCATGGGATCTGCCATGTATTCACCAATCTTTGTGGCAACTTTGCATCTGGCGAATATCGTGTCCATACATTTGTGGAAGAGACGGGCATGGAGGAGCGTTTGATAGTCTGCGTGAGCATCGAACTTCGGAATTGGGATAAATGCGATACAACGCCATGCATGAGCGGTGGCCTTCATTCGAACTTCGGATTGAATATTGCCAATCGTAAGGAATATTGGGTGCATTTCTAATCCTCCTGTCATCCTGGTTACGGGCGTTTTGTCAGATGCAAGAATGATTGGTACTATAGTGGCGCCTTCTGGAAGGTCATTCTGTTAAAGATTAGCGAGCAATTTCGTTTATTCAAAGATCCATACTTGAATGGTGAAAGCCCTCTCACTAGTGAAGAATTCGCCGTATTCACGCTCTGAGCCAGTCATAACAAGGTGGGGATCGTACATCATGTGATTGGAAAATATCGGGTTTGCAAAGAGATCTTTAACGACTTCAAGACCGTCACGCCAGATGAGTTCCATTGGCCTCGCAGTTGTGTAGTCGATAAACTCGAATGTCGTTGATTGCCACTGAGGGCCACTTGGCAATACATCAATCCAGCCAAATAGTTGATCTGCGCTCTTGAAGGATGGTCGGGATCTACTAGTTTTAAACTTAGGTGAAGTTCAGGCTGTTAGCCACAGTGTGGAACTGCAAAGGCGGATGCTACTCACCCAGTCTAGTTTCAGAAACTTGTTAATGTCGGTTTTGGTCAGCCGCTGCACGATGAATTCTGCTAGCTGCCATTCAGCCTGATCGACGAATGGGTATGAGGGATTTATTGCTCTGCGGCGCTTTTGGTCAGGATCATGATCCTCCATTGTCTGCAAGATATTGTGTCCCCGACCAAAAAGGTACCCTGATTTTGAATGATACTGGCCAGTTACCTCTTCCTGGCCGCTATCGCCTCGTTGGAAAGCTGGAGGAACTGGTAAGCGGTAAGTGGGTTCGTTGCTCCAACAAGAATGCACCGGATCATTGAGATGATCCAAAACAGCGAGATTTGAGACGAATTCTAGTCTGCAATTCGGGCATCTTGCAGAGGAACTACTGATCGTGATGAAGTCAGCGTGATGAAGTCAGTCAGTCACTGCTACTATTTGATGCGGCCTAACTCACCCGTTGTGATCGTGTAGTATTTCTAGTCCAGCTGCAGTGCAGCCCGAGTCAGCCTGTTCCATCGTGCTCCTGCCAGGATTCAACGTTCAACTTTCTTCAAACTCCGACCCACTTGGTTTGTTGCCTCACTGCTTGCTAAGATAGTAGCAGATACACATCCAGCTGTACTTATGGTTCCCCCATCCCTTCATATTTCGTCATCTGTATCTACTATGTCAGGATCTAGCGGATGGACTCGTGTTGAGTCCCTCTGTAATTCCAACCCTTCCAAATCAGCGGAAGAGAAGGTCATTGCTTTGACCACAGACCTCCCACATTCAGACTCTGTCCCCTTCTCGCGCTCAGCGACCTCCTCCTCAAACTCAATTCGCTCTGGTCACGAGTCCCCTATTGGCAGCTCTCGCAGCTCCCGGCGGGGAGTGCGTTCTGCAAACAGAAGCCACCCTTTCACACGTCGTCCCACCCAAGTCGGGCTGCGTTTTGCCATGAAGGCAGTCCGAAGAAATCATCACTCTGACATCACTCTTAATGATGTCATTAAGGCGAGCAAGTATTGAAGCCACTGAATAACTGATTATTTATGGTGTATTTGACTGTTACAGGGGCGAGACCTTTTTTTGAGCGGTCTCTCATCCTTCTCAGATGATACAATCAAATTAGTAGCAAATGCTAAGCACGCTGCACGAGAAAATAGCCGTCAAAAACTCCTGCAACTCGGTTGGGAGATCGAAGAGGCGAAACTCAACAAGCTAGTCCTCATAGCATTTGAGGACGAGGAGAAGCAGCGCTTGAAAATGGCAGACTCGGATTATCACCTCTTCAAGAAGCTCCTGGTGGACCGGGATATTCCGGCCCTAGACCAGGATGTCGAATGCCTTGCGGAGTCACATGATAGCGAACTCGAAGACTTAGCTACAGCCGACGAACAGCTGTTCCAAATGTCGTCCATATCATCGCTTGCTACCAAATACGTCTCCCACAGGTTCCCCCAGAACAGTAGCGATACGGAGTACGAACCTGGTGAGGAGGAACAATATGACAAGTATAATCATAGCGACAACAGTAGCAACTCGGACAATGACGAGGCGGAAGGTAGCCACGTCTCTACCCTAAAATGAAACAACTTACAAACTTACCCTTTCAGGTTGAACGTTGTCCACGAGGACGGAGTGCGGACAGATGGGCCGGCGGCGTCAATTACAATCCTTTTTTGACTCAATTCACTACTTTCCTGGCAGGTTCTGAGTTCCTATCACGAGACCCCTGATCATGATCTTTTTCAATTCTATACGTTGTATTTTAGCGCTCTGAATAACAGAAGCTTTCGTTTGATTGGCGATCGATGAGTACGTTCGCATTGGGTAAGATCAGATAACTAACGTGGATTCACACCACGAGCATCGATGAGCAATCCTCCAGCCAATTCCACTACCAGCAGGCGAAAGCCCAACCCCGCAAGAGTACGTACGATCTAAATTCTGTTCGCTCTTCTTTCCTGACTGCCGTGTAGAAAGGTTTCCGGCCTGGAGTCAATTCAGAACTCAACCCCAGTGGGCAGCCAGTCATCACTCAACTCAACCTACTCGGTGATCGCGTACAAACGCCTGAACAATACCAGGTTCAGATGAATCCCTCCATGCAGCATCCCACGCATTCCCATCAAGCATCAACGGCACCTCAGCCCCAACAGTATCAACTACCGGTACCACAATATCTGCCGCCCCCACCCCATCAGCACCAACCCCAGCACCAACCTCCCCAGCAGTATGAGCCTCCGCCGCCGCCCCAGTACCAACCTCCCCAGCAGTATGAGCCGCCGCCGCAGCCCCAGTACCAACCTCTCCAGCAGTATGAGCCGCTGCCGCAGCCCCAGTACCAACCTCTCCAGCAGTATGAGCCACCGCCGCAGCCCCAGTACCAACCTCCCCAGCAGTATGAGCCGCCGCCGCAGCCCCAGTACCAACCTCCCCAGCAGTATCAAGCTCACCAGCGGTATGAGCCCCAGCAGCATCAACGCCACGAATGGAACACGGGTACGGCGCAGTCGCAGGCGTATGCAGGCGCATTCGCACTTCTCCAGGGTGAAGGATCAAGGCTGCCGTCACAACCAGATCTCGGGAGCGGGTCTATGGCCCCATGGGGGGTTTCGCGACTCATTGCCCTTGCACCCTACCATGTGGGAGAGAACGTCCGTGGAGAGCAAACCCAAGGCGTTATTCGTGTAAGTGATCATTCCTCCGAGCTTGAATACTAACTTAGTGACTATACAGCGCACAAAACACGTTTCGGACAGCGGGAGACGACGACAAAAGACGAACCTACCTCCCACACCCATGATACCAGTAGCCAATGCGCCCGAGGAGCCTGCAGCACCTATTTCGACGCGCATCGCACTCGATTCAAAAGAGGTGCGACAGTATAAGGAGCTCGCTAAAGAGAAACTTCGGGGCTTGATCGTTACGGTGGCTGCTAATACTGACGGTGCTCCGAATGACGCAATGCGCAACACGATGATCGAAACCGCGCTGCAAAACGCACGAATTGAGCTCTACGGTCAAGGTATGTTTTATTTGTTTCGAAATCATCTACTACTGATAAGTTACTAGTGGATATCGAGAACATCAAAGGTATACATAACTACATGGTGGCTTCATTAGCAGACATGCGACGCGCTCTCAAAGTACATGCGCTCAATACCGTTCCGCTAGGCTACAGCCTCCGCCTACCTTTATTTTCCCTGCTCGACGAGGCGGCGCACAAACGGGACACAATCCAAACGCTGCTAGACGGAGGGAGGTACCTACATTTGTATGAGCAGGTACCCGTTTTTTTATCATCAGCGGGACTGTTTCTCACTCACACCTGCAGACTGTCGACGACGTGGATATCGAACGGCTACTCGAAAACGAGGTCCTCGTCAACATGGTTATCGACGTGTTGATCGGAGGTTGGGACGCCAACTTGGAAGGCCCAATGGACCGAGTGTTCGCATCCTGCGGCGCTGCGATCTATTGTGTGCTATATGCACATCGCACAGGCCGATTCACTGACGTGTCAGTGAATTCGGCCACGTTCGACGATGCATACCAAGATATCATGGCGATCGTTCGAACTATTCGTGCTTCGGATGTCTTGAGTGCGAGGTTTGATGGGGTACAGCAACAGGTTGGCCTCCGAGTGGCCAACCATTAGCTCAGTAGTACGACGCGCTGATAATAATAATCTTTCACATCTAATCACATCGAATTCCGTAAAGTTTACGACGTAAATTCGACGTCCGAGTCCTCCACCAATCGCCTGAGTTCGCTACTGAAGTCGTAAGTGTTCGTAAGTGTTCGTAACGCGCGTAGGTTAAGCGTTCATTTCAGTCGTTTTGCAGATGTAGCACCGCATCACACCGCGTCGACTTGCGGCAACACTAGCCCCATATACTTTAGACTCGGGTCTCCCCTTAACCACCACCTTGCTCATTTGTAACACGTTATCAAATAGACGGTTTTGTCTTGTTATTACTTGTCCGATTCGTCCAGTGTTTCCTGTCGCCACCACGACAGGCTTTCACAGATCCGGGAAAGTATAAAAAGGACATTACAACTCCGCGAGTATTGGAGACTTAGTCTTGACTTGATCAACGATGCTGCACGAACTGCCTACAGAGATCGCTCTCTACATAGCATCCTATCTCCCATTACAATCTATCCGCAATATCTCGCTCGTGTCCAGAGCATGGCACGGTCTGATCACAGAAAACGTCCAGGCAGTTCACCGCAAAGCAGCCATCCTACATCGCTTCGTCCTCCATACCGATCTTCAGGCTGATTCCTCTGGTCAAAAACCAGATACAAAGAAGATAGACTGGTTTCAACTCTGTCTGTGCTTCTCCAAGTGCAGCTGATACCTTTTGACCATCTCTGCTAGGTCAAAGACGATTGCAGATCGAGAGGGGTTGGCGAGGCAAGGCTCCGTCCATCGCGAGGGAGCTGAATTCCACCGGCAAATTCGTGCATCGAATAAAGGTTGACCAGAAGGAGAAATTCGTGATGACTACCCGCCACAATGGAGGCCTCTCCGTGACCGATTACGATACTGATCGCGTACTTTGGGCAACAGTAAGTCGTCTGACATGCCCGTCCACCCCATCCTGAACCATTCCGACAAAACAGACTCACGTAACCGATTACGCTCACTGCGAATATGACCATGGCTACATCATCCTCAACCGTCACGATGATAGCAAGGAAGTATGGCGCTACGCCCGTGACTTTCAAGACTCTGAAATCCCAGAGGTCTTCAAGCCTGACGAGTCCATGATCGATGCATCGCACGAAGCTGCTCAGCGTCATGCCTCCCCAACAAATCATGGCCATTTCAGACCCTGGGCTCTCCTCCACATGCCAGAGCCGACCCGTGCATTCCGCTTCTCGTACCCAACGCTGCTTTCGGCCGGCGCAAATTACGCTTATTTGTGGGACGTGCCGACTTCCCATCTTGTTGAAACGATCAGCAACATTCAGGCGCCCAATCAAGATGGGACCCTAGGGACCCTCTGCTACGTTGAAGTCAATGACCAATACGCTTTCTTCTGCGGGTCTAATCAACTACGCATCTTTGCAAGGGGCGGTGGTGCCTTGGTCTATCACCTGTGCATGAAAGATTTGCAGCGCATCAACTGGGATGTGCTTCCAGATAATAACGATGACCCGTGCCCTTCATCGCTCTTTCAGCCCCAACGACTTCATGAGGCATATCACGTCTCTTCCACATCTCCGAGCACATTTGTTGCGGGTAAGGTCTATACGTCGATCCATATCATATACTCATCATGTGCGCAGCCCATGTGTCCACCTCGGGCAAGGACATCGCAGTCCTCACCGCATCAGGGATCTTCATTTGGATTCCGGGCTTTGAACGACTCTTCCATCGCGAGGTCACTCTTGGCGATATAGCAACCTTCCTCAATTTCAGCGCCTCCAGAAGCGACGTCCGAGATACCTCTGTCTATCTGGCCCTCGGAGAATCAAATGAAAAGGCCGCAATCGCAACTGTAAGTCTCCCTTCCACACATGGGCTTCTCAGCGCTAAACCTATCGCAGCGCAAGGGTTTGTTTATAGTGTCTCTAGACCCTGAAATCAGCAAGTTGACTGCGGAGGCACCTCGCCGCCCTGGCCTATCCGTCTGCCGCATAGCAAAATACGACGACAGCCGATACCTATCCTCTATATCATGTCTGCAAATGACAGATACCGGCCTCTTCTTCAACTGGTACCCGTCCTTAGAGCAAAGCAGACCTGCTCAGCCGGCACGGCGCATGATGGTGATCCCGCCTCCGCATCATGGGCATCTTCCGGTGCCTATTCAGGTTATGCCGCCGCCCCAACCTCAACCTCAGCATACGAATCAGGTTCATGCACCTGTTCAAACCGTGTTGGCTGTTGGATTGGAGGGGCAGAGTGATCACCTTCCTGGGCTTGACCCCATTGAGTCTAGTGATGATGATGAGATAGGGGAAGATGTAGTTCCTGATCCACCTTCTCCCATTATCGTCGACGAAGCTGGTCCGCCCCCGTTGGTCGAAACGTACGAAGAGGAAGAGGTCGAGATTGATGGAGGAGATCTCGTAGTGGACGAAGACACAGATGATTCTGAGATGGAGGAAGCGGAGGATGAGACGATTGATGATCTTCAGTTCGGTGGTGATGGTAAGTGGTTATCGTGTCATTGTGAGTTCTTGATCTGACATTTTACCTTTGGTGCAGGTTTTATGCAGGTGATCGTGAATGATTGGTTCCTTCCTATTAGCTCGAGCACGGTGCACTACATACATGTTTGACGTGTCAAAATTTGTAGTTTTTTACAGAATGTAATCAAGGTGTATTACAGTACTTGCAATTGGAGAATGGAATAATCTGGGGCGGGTACGATGAACCCATGGTCCACCCTTGTTGCGATTGGCCCAGACATAAAGAGGAATGCACGAATTCAACTGAAGATTCGAAGCAAGTATCTGTCTTCATTTCAGGGTGACAGAATGATCAGCTTTCTACCCCGCTCGCAATGCTGCAGTGGAGAGATAAAGCTTAAGTTTGATGGTGATCATGATGGTCAAAAAAAGAACATGCTGTACAACGCACAGCCATGAAAGATAAAGATAGCAAGCCCATCAATTACGGTATCGTTCCTCGTACTTGACAACATTCGTGTAACGTGAATACCCTACACGAGCATCCCGCGCTGATGAACTGACGATTGGCCCAAACAGGAAAAGTACAGTGGTTCTCGAGACTTGGCAACGTGAGGACAACTCACCAAACACTATCCATAGGATACAACCGCCATGGCTTCCAGCTTGAAACAACCCGCTATAACAACAAACGCATCGGTTCTGACACCGGTGATGACCTTGGAGGGACATAAACCATATGTGATACCCGAATTCGATGATCGCGAGCTCAAATTCATTTCATACATTTCCTATTTCCCCGACGGCAAGCAAATAATCAGCGGATCATGCGATAAGACGATTCGGCGATGGGACCTGCGGGAGGGTAAGGAAATCAAGGAAGCTCGGGAAGATTTCCAGTATGATGTAAATGGAGTGGGAGTGTCAAGGGATGGTCGATGGGTTGTCACTGTAGTTGATGGGGTGCTCAAAGTGTGTGAGGTCGAGACAGGGATCGTGAGAACATTTCATGATGGCTGTAACTGCATTGATATCTCAGTGGACAACTTGCTAGCGAGTGCGTCATACGATGGGATACGGATATGGAGCCTGGACACGGGCGAACTCGTGGCTGGTCCATTCAGATTTAGTGGTACATCTGTGGACGCACTTGGACTCTCTCAAGACTCTCAGAAGCTGGCGGCGACATTATTGGATTGGGAGTCCAAGCAATCATACCTTGAGGTGTGGGACGTCCAACCACAGAAATTGGTTGTCACTAGAAAAAGATCTATCACTAGCCTCTTCTTACGATCGCTGGTATTTTGGACAACAAAAGGCAAATTCATCACAACCTTATTCAGCAGCTTGGATGACGACATGACAATCTATGAGTATGATGCATCGACGCTCAAGACTGTCGGAGATTCCTTCCAAGGGCACACCGACCTCATCAGGAACCTAGCACTTTCATTTGATTGTCTTCTTCTCGCCAGTGCTTCCGACGACAACACCATCAAGCTCTGGTCCTTTGAGTCTCGCCAACTCCTCGCCTCGTTCGATGTCCAAGCTCCCTTTACCCTAATACTCTCACCTGACTCACACCAATTGGCTTACACGACACTTGATGAGGCTAGAATCTACGTATGCGATATTCCAGCCAATATTTTTGCTAGTATTGGTCTTGCAAAAGAGGTTTGTATTCACCCACTGGCATTCATGATTCGCGTGCTAAAATCTCTTGCAGACAAGCGCCCACCTCGCTAAACTGCTTGACGTATGTGGTCCTGCTCTTTTACTTATCTATTCATTCCATTGTCTATCGCAGTCTGACGCAACACGTCATCCCGTACGCCGTAAACCAGCAGTATCAGTCATACCTTCCGTCCCCCGCCCGCTAGCAGTTGCAATTGAACCCCGGCGACCCATTATCATTGGATTTTTACGCAAACTCCTCCCTTCTCGTACGGATATGGCTCGCCCTATTCGCACCAATGAACCCCGCAATCCCCTGGACGTATGTCTCTTTCATCTATCTTCTTCACAGCTGACTCGACGGTCCCCTTGCAGTTCCCTGCTACAGCACCCTTGCCTCGTCCAATTGTAAATCCCCATGATGATAATGTGAGTAGGGACCACTATCATTACATATTCGACTGACATTTTCTAGTATCGGCCACCGACCACCCAATCCTCTGCTCCTACTCCCACAACCTTCAAATCTCGCCTGTCAACCTGGTTGTCACTTCAAACAGGTCGTGCATCCACAGCTATCGTTGATGTTCCTCTCGCGCAGGGTAAAGAGGTGTGTGCGACTGTTTTCTCGGTTTTCAGTGCTCATATATCAATTTACAGCGGAACGCTGCCGCAGGTGCTACACGCCGCAAAAACGATGAATGGATACCTGATGAAGACCATGTTTCTTCTTCTCCTTCGCCCAATCCAGATTCGCAACAGCCGATCACAGCAGGGCAGGTCAGAACCAATGCAGGAGAACATGGAGGCAGCCGGCTGTGTTTCTGCTTTTAGATTGACTTTTTGAACGGTACTGTAACGAGTTCATGGCAGACACCTTGCTAATTAGAACCTGCTTATATGCATAGTGTATCTTTACAAGATGTAAGGCATATCACAGTGTATCTTCGTTTAGAGGACTCGGATATTTGCTTGTATACACTTGAACGGCGAAAATCTTACGCAGAGTTTGAAACACCAGCGCTAATCTATCGTCAAGGCAGGCACAATACAGGGATTTCATCACAAGCCAGAAAGGGATGGAACATGCTGTACACGCAATGCATAGTCTTGAGGATGGGCGTCAAAAGATAAGGAGGTAGTCAGATGCGCCCATCACACACATCGATGGTATTGCTCTTCGTCTATACTGGTATTCTCAGGGTGAGTCATCACACGAATACCACATCTGAGATATAAGTGTTCTGCACTGACGAACTGATATCATTAGCTTATTCTTGTAGACAGACAAGGACATGGCCTACAGCTCAACCCAGCACGATGCAGCAGAAAACACGTCGATCCTGACACAGGTCTTGGTCATGACCTTTCACGGTCATGCGCGACCCAACCGTCAGAGCGCCCTTCGAAGGACACTCACGTCGTCCGTGACTCCGTGGTCTAGCACTCTCTTCTGACCGCATACTTCTCGCCAGCAGTTCAATCGACAACACCATCATGATAAAGCTGTGGGCCTTTGAGTCTTTTTAGCTCCTCGCTTCATCCGACGTCTATTTCACTGGCAGGTCTCATGCATCCAATTACAGCCGAATGCTGCAACGGGTGCTACCATCAAAGGCGACGACTCGGGATACCTGATGAATGCTATGTTCCTTCTACTCCTTCCTTGAATGCCGAATTACGACAGCCATCACTCAGCAGCTCCTTTTACTCGGTGACCACTGACCTCTTTCATTACACTCTACTGGTAAGTTACATAACTTCAGGCAGCATAATGTCTCGCAAATTCTGCGCCATGAATCTACCATGGCCTACCAGCCTTCAAAGCTTCACGGATCCCGGACTTTTTTGCATTCGAAACCGTGCTAGTGTTTCGGGTCAAAAGGATGGCTGCAGGTTTTAGCCAAATAGTTTCGTGCATTCCGTCTTCTGCCTACTGTTTGTACAAATCAGATACCACTATGTAGCCATCTATTTACGAAAACTGCTAGCAACACATGGATTATTTGCATATCTCGTGCCGCATGCTCATTTGAACTACTCTTATGATGGCACAACGACTGGATACGCGATAGAGATTATGTTCCTTCTACTCTTCACCAAGTACCGAATCACGACGGCCATCCTCAGACTTTAGCAAGGCAGATCTCAATTGCCCACAATAAACTTGTCATCGAAGTGAACACAACTCAACTTAGAATATAAGGCAAAAGAAATGCGCCACAGCGATAGTGTTTGATGTTGATAGCTATCTATAAACAAGTGATTGCCAACGCGGTATATATACAATGTGCTATCAAAAATACAACTAATTTTCATATGAAGTCATTATGTTCATCTGACTACACATTGCAAGATGCCCCTTCCACAAATCCCGACTTGGCTGTCGACGGTCGGTCCAGATTCCCATTTCTATACACCGACGCGCCATTGCTATGGGTGAATTGGGATATATGCACCTGCAAAGGCAGGGCATAATGCTGTAAGTTTCCTCCATCTATGTTGGAGTGGGGCACCCCCTAGCAGGGGGTGAGCGAGGTCTCTACAGAGCCAGCAGGGGTTAGCAGAGTCCAGCGGAGGCCGATAGAGCGAGACAGCAAGGGTCAGGTTAGCTTAGTCAGCAGGAGAGCCTTTCACAGGCGGTTGTCGTAGTCGATCATCATCCATTCCACCAGGACACAGCAGGCTTGCACATTGGCTGGAGCAGCCACTCCAATGTCACTGCCCGACCTGTGATGGACAGTCAAAATGTGACTGTGAGTACTTTTACCCATCGCAATGCGAATGATCACCATATAGAATGTGATAGAGATGATCGACGTAAGCTGATTAAACAAAGGTCAGTACTCTTCGATGATATATGTTATCGGTGGAATCACCATGTCTATCATAACGAGCGATCCATTGTTCGAGCAGACCACACCGATTAATGTGCAGAGGAGCGCTATAGAATATAAAATAGCAGCATCCATAACCACGCGTAGTATACTCGTCGTGGTGATCTTCGTAGTGCGACTGCTAGTAACATTATGTTCGATTTTCCAGATGCGGTACGCCAGTAATCCTGAACAGATTCAGATTGGTATGAGGATATGACACTATGCACGAGCAGAAGCATGCTCACCCGAACTCAGCAAATTAGTCGCAAGCGTCAAGGCATAGAACACCGAGATCCAATTGTGAATCACCAGCAGGCCGAAGACATTTCCGGATATGATAGATGCATGCCAAAATTCGTAGATCGAGCACACACCAGTCACTTCAAAACATCAGAGCATGCGACTTGCTATGTGTATTTGAAACCTTACCTGCGACACTACACCACATTATGCTGGGTAAGATGATGACCCAGATGCTTCGCCAAATCATGTAACAACGATAAATCTTTTTCCAAAAAAGCGCTTCTATATCAATTTCAGAATGGCAAATATATGATTGAACCCACCACCACCCTGTTGTCTTAATAACCGAGGGTCTTATATAAAGCGTGTAAGAATGTAATGACACCACAATTACACTTGGATAAGACTTCTTGCCAGTCCTCGATTAACACGGTCTACGACTTTTCTTCTTTCGTGGTAGATAACGTGTGAGTTCTTGGGAGGCTCGCTAAACCTAATCAGGTGATCAACTTAGCCGGAGCTTTTATGTGTACCTCCAATTGTTTTGTCTAGGATTTGCTACCTAGATTCAGAACTGTGGTCTGAAGTACAAATAGCTTTGCCTAGATTGCACGTTCTAGGCACTGAAATGAACTGGGTAGATTTGACCAAGGCACAAGTTGATCAAATAGGCACGAATAGGAATAGAGACAAAGGGGTCTCTGTAATATCACGTTGACCAAAGACGGGTTGGTCAAATAGGCACAAATAGCACTGGTGAGACAATGGTCTCAAGAATAATCACGTTGACCAAGGCACGAGTTGGTCAATTAAACAGTAAAACAGGAGAGACAACGGTCTCTAAAATCACGTGGACCAAAGACTGGTTGGTCAAATAAACAGTAACGTAAGCTTCTTATCGTAAGAAACTTGTATTCTCAAGGGATACGTTTCCCTGCACTTGTTCTGCTACAAGTGGGAGATCTTAACAAGTGAGATGTCTTGTTCAACTGAGGGGGTTTCTCTGAGAAGAAAATTTCCTAGAAGAGGGATCTCTATTTTTTGGGGGGAGAATGGGCTCTCCTTATATACATTTTGTGTGGGAAAGTAATGTAGGTTCGCAAACAATAAAATAAAGAGAGAACCAATCAGAATATTGGGTGAAACCCAATAAAAGTATAAAATACAAATAAAAGATGGAGCAATGACATCAGAGATGACATCATAGTGGAGCTAGAATATTCTAGAGCCTATGACATCATTATGACTTCATACATTACATCATAATTTCCAACAGAATAGTCTAGAACTTTCTGTGGAGCTATATGACATCATTATGACATCATACTCAGAAATAATATTTTCTGGAGTATCTGGTAGGTCATAGCATCCTAAATAAAAGAAAATAAAAGAACAATGCTAGAGAAAACAAGATAGAAACAATGATACAAATACAATATGCAAGACACGGGCTTTTTAGATAGGTTTTTGTTAGGCTTTGAGCTTTTCTCAATGGTTTTCTCTGGCCAAAGTGAATAAGCCAAAGGTAAGGCAATACCTTGACCTTCATTTTACTTCACATATGACTTTTTCTTCTTCCTCCATATAAAACTTGAAATATAGGACCGAGGTTTGATACCAAGGTATGGGGTGACTAGTCTGAGGACTGTGCTAACAGACATAATCTTTTGAGGGTTATTCCTAGTAGTAGTTATGTCCATGCATGATTCCCGTATCATGCAGGACACTGTCACCGAGGAGAGTTTGCAAAACATATATTGCATTGTGGATCACAATAGTTTCTCAGGAGATTTCTGTGAAGAACGCCTCCGACCCGGGCCCGCTTTGGGATATGTTGCGGTGCTGCACTAGTCCTTCTTCAGTCTGAATAATGTCTACGACCATGTGCTTGGAGGACTTCAGCGTATGACATCAGATAGTAAGGCGAGAAGCTAACCGCAGTGCTTAGGACGAACAGCAAGACGGCCACAACTGTGATCAGACGATTGACGCTCCGCATGTGGCGTTCATGGGTCAGCGCCCAGATGGTGCCAATAAACATGAGGACAGAAAAGCCTGAAGAACATGAGTATGGGATGGACGAACACATTCATTATATGACTGACCGTATAAAATGCCTTCGAGTACTGTTGACATTAATGCAGCACTATCGAGTGGCATGCCTTTTCCAATAGCCATGGCGGAGATGAGGATGCTCTGGGGATGTATGCTGGCACATTCGCAGTCCTGTGTCCAGTCTCATGTATCTCATAGTTCTAACAGAACCTAAAACTGATCATGATGATCCTGAATGATACCGGTAATCCATCAGGCGGATATTTATATGCAGCACTTCTAGTCCTTACTCATCGTTCGTGGAATCAGTGAAGCTGTGACCTATACATGTTCGCTGTACAGCTTTGACTTGAAATGTTTCCACACGTGCTGAGTGCTAGCGCTGAAACCCAATGAAACGATTGCTTACAGGATGGAGACTCTGAGATTTGAGTGCGTCGTGCTTAAGCTTAGCTTGATATTCGAGTTGGGGTAGCAAACTTTGCATCAAAGTGAACACAACTCAACTTAGATAAGGCATAAAAGAAATGCGCCACAGCAATAGTGTTTGATGTTGATAGCTATCATTGCCACTATCGGAACTATCATGATGTACGATTTGAAGATGTGGTAAGGATAAACAATAAATAAGATGCGGAAAATTATGTAAGAGAAAAAGAAAGCGCTCCACATTTGTCAGCAACACCTACCCCTATTCTAGAATAACATGAGATAAAACTGTAGATACCACAGAATAGAACTTACCTCTAGTAAACCCCAAGTCGGCCAATATGGGTGAGCTAGTATTGGGAAGGTGCAATATCTCTGTGTTGCCAGTAACCGTCAGCTGAAACACGTCTATATACTAGTTGGCTCAAACACTTACCTGTGTCACATATGGTGGAAAAACAGCCAGTCTGACAGGCATTGTGGATTATCTTGCATAGTTCAGGATGTTGTTGCACTGTCTCAAACGGTGTGGAGATATCGTTGTTGAGCACATTTTCCATGTGGTTGCGTCTGAGTGCATGTTCGATCTCACGTATAATGCAATCAAGGATTGCAGCATAATCCTGTGCTACAAGCCCACTCGAGGTCTGGTCTGAGTCTTGAATGATCTGCAGGATAGTGGGAGAAACTGCGTTGCCTATGATTTGATCAAGGTCTTGACGTTGGGCTGGTGTGAACGGTATGCATGCTACGGGATGATCCTGTGACCCTGATTGTCCTGACTCCATGGGGACGAGCTTGTTGATTATTAATGGGACTGTGGTAGTTTTAGGAGAACAAGAGGTGCCGACAATAGGACTTTACGCACCGCACAGCTTTGGGATCAACGTGACATCATGATGGCGCCAATTCTGTATGATCATTCCACGGGTCTCCCTCTAATTTTGTCGGAAATTTCTAATTTTGGTTGGCATGCCTTAAAATGGATTGGAAGGCCTCAATTTGCCGGTGGCATTACGACTCGCTTGGAAGACAACCCGAAAATTTTGGAAGCCGCTTGAAAGCGATATAGGGGTTCTTGCAAGTGGGTCCCAGGACCATTCCAATGCAAGGGCAAAATTTTGAGCAATATTTATGTACCCTAATTGGGACATCATTGCAAGCGACAAGGTCCTTCCAAGGCCTTAAAATCATCTAAGTCTTTCGAGCAAATTTGGATCATTTTGATTATTTAATATAATAACACTACTAATGATAATATATGAAAATGCCCCCAATCGCATTCCAATCATTCTCATTTCCCCCAATCTCTCGCATTTTGAATTGCGGTCTCCGTCACAATCATAATTTTCTGGAAATGATAATCCCAACGGGGAGGGTTCAGTTGAAGATGATACAGATAGAAGATCAGTCTTACTAACCTTGGACGAATAAATACACAATGGGGAGGCAGACGACGGTACCAAGCTCCAGGAGACGGGAGTGGAGGTAGACAACGGGGTGCAGAGGGCCTCAGGAGACGAGAGCGGAGGTAGATGACGGGGTGCAGAGAGCTCCAGGAGACGGGAGCGGAGGTAGACAACGGGGTGCAGAGAGCTCCAGGAGACGGGAGTGGAGGTAGACAACGGGGTGCAGAGAGCTCCAGGAGACGGGAGTGGAGGTAGACAACGGGAGTGGAGGTAGACAACGGGAGCGGAGGTAGATGACGGGAGTGCAGAGAGCCTCAGGAGACGGTCCAGGGAGTGGAGGTAGATGATGGTACAACATCAATATTTGAGGAGACGTTGGGAGTGGTCCATTGGGAGGCAGATGACAAGACAGTCTAAGGGTGAGACGCTTGCAACTAATTGAGAATGCCTGGACCAAAATTGGTCCAGGCTTTCAGTAATAATATCTTTAAAATCTGTCAATGAATCATGTCAGAGTCTGTCAATAATATGGATGAATCGAAATGAAAACAAATGTTGATTTGGACGTTGTCGTCGATGTAATATCAAACTACAGTGACAGTGGTTGAACAAGTTCAAGTCTAAGTGTCACAACAGCTGATTCATAATAACTTATTATATAATATGTTTGTCGTTGTTGTCAACGTCTGACATTGTCAGTACTCACCATCCAGCAGTCACTTATTGGACTTCACAGAGCGTAATATAATAATTATCGTTTTTCTTCCAGTCAAACTGTCTGAGTGAATCACGAGACACATGTAAGCAAGTCACAATCATAGTAAGTATCAACAAATCATCGACAAATCAAAGGACCATTGTCAGTCTTAGACTAATACTATTATTTCTTTGCGCGGCCAGACCTTCGCACCAATGCCAGATCCTCGTCAGCAGCACCTAACATTAAATCCTCGGCCCTGGCTCCACCCTTGGTCTTGCGCCTTGGCTTGGGCTTGGGCTTGGGCTTCTGAACGAGAGCACCTGGACCAGACTCTGAATCGTTGGTAAGCATTCCAGGTGTCCGCGAGCCCGAATTGTTGAGTGCAGGCGTAGGTGGCAATAGCTCGCGGTCCTGTGAATCTGCTACAGCAAGACCTTGCATAGCCGCAGATATAGATTCAGGTGCAAGAATATTAGGTGCATTCAAGTTGGCGACACGACGGACAGCTGACGGTGGGGTATCTTCTTCGTCAGTGAGTGGTGATATGGCTCGGGGAGCATCAACTTCTGGCAAATCACCCCCCGTTTCCATCACACGCTCGAAATCCTCTTCCCAGGTATTGTGTGGACCGCTGCTCACACCTACAAAGTCTGAGCCCAGAGCAGCTACAGAGGAAGAAGTAGCAAAGAGGGAATTGTTGAAGAAGGTGTAAATGCTGTCGGCCCAGGCGCCGCCGGTCATCAGAGTTTGACGGTAGTAGTTATGGTACTCTTTGTACGAGATTTGAGACTTGTCACCTATCTCGACTAGCTCTTTGTCGCCAGAAAGAATAAAGATAGCCTGCAGCCTAGTTTAGTACGTGTTCTGCAAGGTAGATTTAACAGACGTACAACAATTGCTGCTGCTGCGATGAGGCCTGGAGTTACGGCACGTAACTCCCATATCTTAGCTTTGGTTTTAGGCGTTGGAGGCGCATTGGCAGCTAGCGAGGATCGGCCAAAAAGAGACGCTTTCAAGATCTACTCAGACTATTCAGGATGTGTGTGTCAGAAAGGAGAAGAACGTACATAAACGAGCTTTGATGTTTTGAAAAAGTCGTCTCGGGAGACACGATCTGGATGAGGGAAGAGAACTGGTGCAAATTTCGTGTATGCACCTTGAGGGTTAAGGAGCAAGGTGCGACATGCAGGCTCCAAATCCCGTGCATACCCTCGTATGAAGAACTTTGCGTCGAGATTGAAAATGGCGGCTGCGCATGACTTGACATCAGAAACCATTTCGGCACGAACGCTATTGAGGCCTTTGACAAACTTAAAAGACGATCAGCAGGAATGATTCACGATTCGTACACTGATGTACTACTTACATGGGAACCGAAGTTCTTATGGGCCATCATGTTGTGGTCTGCTGGCAGAATAAAAAGAAAGATTTCGGCTTTGATGCCATCCTGTATTGACATCGGAGAGAGCCACCGCTCTTTGCTTGTGAGATCAATCCTAGGAGGTGGCGCACGCAAGGGGAAAATGATGGTATCAACCCAGAGGCAGTGTGTGACAGAAAACTTGCGTCCGTAGTTCTTGATGGTATCTTCCTTGGCGGCGAGTGCGAGGTCCTTGTTGGTGAGCTTTGTCTTCCAACCTTTTGAAAGTGTAGCCTCAAGGAGAGCGTTCTTCTTCAGAGCCTCCCGGTACTTTCCTCGCATATCTAGAAGTAGCCTTTGTGCAAGTTCGAGTGCCTAATAGAGACGATTGATCAGCTGCTGTCGTTCATTCACAACATAAAGACTTGCCTTGCGAAGATCTTCGGCTGATGCATTGAGAGGAGGTGCTGCAATTGCAGTACGAACACGCAATAAATTGGAATCGTCGTTGGACTGGTCACTGTCTGAATCTGTCGAGTCAGCAGTGGAGCTGCTATCTATATTCTGAATATCTTGAGTAAAGTCTTCGCCTTGGGTGCGCTGAGGCATGGCAGTTTAGAGAATGTAACGAAGAGCAAGCTGGAAACATCTGAATTAGTCGAACACACTTTAAATCAGCGCTGTTCGGGTAGTGTCAGACCCTGTTGATGTAATAAGATGGTAGCAAAACACGTACCCTTATCAGAAACATAATATAACCATCGCATATCCACTTGGAAGCGATGATTAATGAACAAACTGACCTCATGCTTCCAAGACCTTGCGCAGTGACGAAAGAGGAGAATGAGGGTGGCGGGTGTCTGGAGTACGTGGTATTGATATAAAAGGCAGGTTCAATAGGCGAGATTGAGAGTAGTGAAGGTGACAGATGCCGTGGAATTTGATGCGGTGAAGAGCGTAGATAAGCAAGTAGCTGCTCCAGGATTTGTTGGAGTAAGTGTCATCACAGATAACCTTGGATGCGAGCATGAAAGCGGATACGAAAAGAGGGTGACTGTATCATCACAGATGACCTTGGATGCGAGCATGAAAGTGGATACGAAGAGATGGTGACCCAAAGATGCCCAAGTGGTGGGAGCAGCGAAATTGATGGAGGACTGGAGTTTTGTGCGGGGAAGGGCAATGCGACGAAATGAGGGAGCTTTGCTCATCAGTGGGAGTTGGATGGGGGTGGAGGTAATACCAGGTGCACAATGTTGGCATAGGCGATGGAATGGGGGAGCTTCCTTGCCAATGGGGTAGTACTCTGGACAAGCAAAGAGATGGGTGATGAGCCGGATGCACAACCATTAGCATATGCAATGAAATGAGGGTGCTTACTTGGGGATGAAGGATGCTCTGGGCAAGCAAGCAGACTGTGTCCAATGCTGATTTGTTGGAGTAAGTGTCGTCACAGATAACCTTGGATGTGAGCATGAAAGCGGATATGAAAAGATGGTGACTGTATCGTCACAGATAATCTTGGATGCGAGCATGAAAGCGGATACGAAAAGATGGTGACTGTGTCGTCACAGATGACCTTGGATGCAAGCATGAAAGCAGATATGAAAAGACGGTGACTGTGTCGTCACAGATGACCTTGGAAGCGAGCATGAAGGCAGACCGAAGAGATGATGGCCCAAGGATTCCTGCTGGAGGAGGGAATGATAAGTTATATAAGTTTCCTTTGGACGCGAAGAAACATGTCAGTATCGATGTAGTCAACAAGAAAATAATCCCCATTGTTGTCAAAATCTGGGACAAGCAAAGCACCACGAATAATTGAATGAAGGGTGATGAATTCAGATGAAGCTGCGGGCCGTGCACGCAGACGAGTGAGTCGCAGGTCTCGATCTAGGAGGCGCCGACGTGGTGAAGCGTCCATGGGAAGAACCAAAGCGAGATCTAAGGTGCGGTTGCCGACAATGTGCTTGAACATGAATAATAATTTAACAAAGATATTTTTATCGCAGCCATCCTTGTCCTGTGTGTGGATTAGAGCGCAGTCACGACGCTCATGGCCATGAAAACTTGGACTGCATCGCAGATAGTCGGTGGTTAACTTCCAGGTAGCAGTCGACTCATATTGGACTTTGAGATAGCGATGTTCATGTATCTTTTGAAAAAAACGCAGCATCAGAGATTCAACTAAAACTTCAGAATGAAGGAAATTCACCAGGTCTTGCGCTGAAAGTTTCAACCACATTATTCCGTCTGGTAATGGTATGTGGTGGGAGGGTAGGAAGTGATTCAAAAATGTTGTGAGCTTCTTCCTGAACTGGTCGAAGGCGCGATTTGACCTGTGTTCTTCCTCTACCTGTGCTAGGCTGGTAAGATTCCTCAAGGGCGAACCGATATGCAGGTGAGCTTCAAATGGCTCATTGTCGTTGTCGTTTTCCTCGAGTTCTTCCCGTGAGAGTGTAAGTTTGTGTCGTTCCTCGTCAAGATAGTCGATACGGCTGCGAACAAATTCGGCAACAAAGCTCTTATGATCGAGTTCGATAATCTATGGTATACACGAAGTTTAAGTTATTGATGGGAAGTAAACTTTCAGAGTAGGCGATGTCATACCTGATTAGCAATGTCCTTACGATTAGTCTGCCGTAGATACCAACGCTTGATTGGTCCATGCTGCTTTTCATTTGGTCGAGTACTGAAGTTGCGAGCGGCACCTTTCGCTATGATGTCGTCAAATATGTGCTTTGAGGCGTGCATTTTGGGGAAATTCCAGTTCTTAATCGTATCTGGATCAGTCTCATCAACAATTGTGATGTATTCCTATGATATAATGCTATTGTCAGTACACTACATTGACCGGAGACACGGAATCAACACAACATACTTCTAAATGCGTCTGAAATTCCAAAACCTCGGCTTTTCCTGCTTTGATTGTGCTCTCTGTGTGCACATCGAGAGATACATACATGTCGATATGGAGATAACTCGCTATGCACCGTAAAAGTGCATAGCCAGCTTCATCATCCGTGCGCGTCAGTACATTCTGGGTGGTATATAAAATTTGCTATCGAAATCAAATTTAAGTGGTCTGTCAATGTCAAATCAACGTGTCGTACCTTAGAAATGTCCCTAAGTTTATTACCGTCGCTGTAGGTAATGTTAGTAACTCGATCGAAATGATTCAAATTGCGCCATCGTGTGAAGGTAGCAAATCTATAGGCAATTGAATAGTCAGATTCAGATGGTGAGCAGATTGGTACGATAAATCAACTCACTGGTCATCAATCTTTTTCTCAGCACCACGTCCCAGAGCCGCTGCATGTCGTTTAAGCTCACCAAATAAATGTTTCCCCCATTCCCCTATATGATACACGTGAAGGTGGTCCTGCGAGATCGTTTCGTGTGGGTTGGAATTTGGGAGCCACCAAAAGACATTCTACAATAAAGAAAGTCAGATTCAATCAAGAATATAATAATGAGTACCGGCCATAACTGGCCGAAGGCCCCGTTTTTTCAATGCCTCTTCTCCAGCCGTTTTGTCCCTATTCCATAGTTCTACGCAAGCTTGTGCGTCTTTGGGCGTTCGGATTGGATAAGTTGAAGCATTGTCGTACAGCTTATCGGATGGGACAAGGCAAATAGGACATGGGCAATGACAATTCGTCCCCCGTATCAGTGCCATGACACATCTATCGTTGACTGATCAGAAATTTGTCTACAGAAATTAGTATACAACATACTGTTCCTCATAGTCAGCAGATAAGAGCAAAATGAACGCATACAACCACCTAACGATACCATCATAACAGAGATGCGCATACCCTGTCTTGGCGTAGAGTATAATGGTTTCGAGCAGCTTAAAAAACCCTTCATGCCATACAACACGTTTGAGGTTCACGTACGACAGCTTGCCGTCCTCTTCAGAATCGTCGGGAACCTGTGCGAAAGAAACTCAGGAGTAACGAGACTGGTTTCAGTTCCTAAATTTAAAGATGTACTATTGGTAACCAACCGACCATCCGCCCACCACCAAGCCCGTCAGTGTTTCTAATGTCAACGGGCAAGTTTCCACAACGAGCGAAGACCGGATAAGCTTTGACTGTACCAGCGGAAGAGAGGTGCGTCTTGTCTGCATACAGAATAAATGCGAAAGGGACGGCGTTTTCAGGTAAAGATGACTGTAATACATGCAAGAAAGGATATTGTTTAATGAATGATAGTACAAAAAATAAGTCATACTTGGACATTCCACCAGCGATCCGCAGTCCAAGGTTCATGGTAAAAGCGCTCGTAACGTGTCCCATCGTGTTTATATACCCGCTGCGCATCCCAAACGAAGTGCGGCGCCAGCAATGGGTCCTGTAATAAGTCCAAAGCCCAGTCCCACAATGGGCGTGTATATACATGAAACGCGAGGTCTTCCCGTTTATGCCGGGTCGTGATAGTATGCTTCTCGAACTGTAAAGGTATTGGTAGCTACAAAAGGGAAATGCGACATTCTCCTCTTACAGGTGTCATCTGGCCAGCCGCCCTATCCCAGGCTACAGAAACATCGCGGTGGGACTTGAAGGTAATGTTTGCGTGACCATCAACGATTCTCCAGATGAGTTGTAATAGCGCATCTGTGTGGTCCTTGTTAAGGGCAGCATTGTGTGCAAGTTCGGCAAATTCAAAGTCTGCACGACAGCTGAATGGCTGCCAAGGTTCTTCGTCAACGATAGGCGGCTGCTGATCTTGGTTGCGTCCGAACATAGAGAAAGTCTCGATGGAGGTTGCACGACCAGATTTTGGGTGATACTCCGTCTTAAATGTATCGAGATCAGAGTGAACCGAAGGTACCGCTGAAAGTGAGGATAGAGCAAGGGGTGTGGGAGCGTGAGATGCCATGCTGGAATCTGAACCTGCACCTGAATCGTGAAAAAGATGGATGAGGAGCGCATTGTGATCAGTCAAAGTACATACGTTGCCGTGAGTCTCCACTGATGCTCATCACATCAACATCTGGTACCATTTCAAATGACGGGCCCACGATAAATTCATCGGGCGCATTCTCTGCGCGATCCTGGAATGACGTTGAAGGGTCTGACGATGGGGAGCCAATATTATGTGTCGCAGCCGCTTGTTCCTTGAGAAGACGCTTTCTCTTTCGACGTAACTCTGATGATTGTGTGGTAAGAGATATTAGTACTATTGCTTTAAGTCGATAGAAGCACAATTCACCACATACCTTTCCGTTTGATTTGCTCCTCAACCGCCTGCGCTGCGAGCACTGCAAACTCATCATCATCCTTCTTTTTCTCTCGTCTTCTCAAACAACTTTGCTCATGAGATCGTATCCCGCGAGACGAGAACAACTTATCGCAGTATTGACAATGAATTTGGTTGTTGGAGGCCGAGGGTATATTTAGTACATTGACAGTATACTTGCGTCGCCTGGCTGGACCATTTGCAACGCTTCTGCTTGGCGCCATACAGGAGTGTTGTTAAAAATACAGACACAGAAAGGGAGGAGACAATACTGAGAAGATAGTAGAGGCAACAAATTTTATAAGTCGACTCGACGTTAGCATCATTCACCGTAACTGTATTAACATGACAGTTAATATCGGCAACTTCCGACGAACTCAGTCTGAATCTTATGCACCGAAGCCTTGGAAGCAACTTGGAAGCGCTAAAAATACTTGTAAGCGACACGTGCATCCTTTCAAGCGCCCTAAAATAACTCACACCCTATGGGAATACGGACGCAATGTAGTTGTCAGTCATCAAATTAATGTCCCAATAAGGAACACTTGCAAGGCACCCCTGGAGATTTCCGACATTGGTCACGACCTGTCACACCTCGGTACAATCGACTTTCACTTGCCGAAGCCTTCAAACTCTTACAAAGTGCGCGCATCGCGAAAGGCTCGAAAACGGTGAGCAGTATCATTGATGAGCAAGTATCATAGTTCAAATCTAACACTGACGGTAGCAATCATTAAAACCCCAGTTGCTCCACAAAGCTCTGCCACGCCGCATCCAGCACCGGCACCTCCTGTATCCCATTCGGGGCGCTGTATGAATGTGCAGGATGAAACGTATTCAGCACCTGCGGCTGTCCACTATAAATCTCCGCCCCATACACACTCGACCCACTAAACTGCACATCGCTCATTGCCTGGAAGAAAGACTCATGCGAGTCAAAAGAGCCGCCCGCAGTGAACGGTGATTGCTCGAATTTGTCAAAGACGCGCATATCTTGCATGATGCGCGGGTGTATATCAAACCCGACGCCCTGTCCTTCCCATGTAAATTGTCTGCTTGGCTGGCACGAGCCGCTTGACTCGGCTTCTGATGGTGTAGGTTGGACAGACGGCGGTGAGGCGCTAGATCGAGGGCTTGTTTGGGATATTAGATGAGTTTTGCCACCACCAAGGCGATCGAGTTCGGCGCGGGATAAGCCGGACTGATCGTCATAAAGAGGGCGATCAACAGCATCGTGGCCTTTTTTCCAGACTTTTGTTATTGAGTCCTGGACGCGGGATGAGGAGTCTGCATTGAATACATAGAGAAGATGCTTACGAGGAGCACAGCGGCAGGCTTTGAGGTAGGCGCTGACTTCTGGAATACTTCATAAACGACATCAAGCTCGCGCAATGAAGAAGGCGCTATGTTTGATTGAGGCGCACGATTAACGATCATGCACATGACGATCTATGGCACGCGTTGTCATGCACTTCAATTAATGAGTTGAACAGGGCTACTCACGGCGGCGGATAGAGCATGTGACCAGAACAGACCTAATCGCTCAATCACTTGCGGAATCTTACTAGCTGCATGCGAGTGACTTTCTATCACTCGCCATGCAGACCGATACATCGCCATGACCGAGGGGCCGTACTTATGCTTCAAGAGGTCATCGGGCTGGTCCTCCAAAGCTTGTGTGAAGTATCGTCGATGGATATTTAACAACGCTAAACACGCCGCAAATAAGTTTCACGGACTGATAAGAGTAGATGCGTATACCCACTAGCTTCCTTATTTGTGAGGAGAAAAGACGTCTGGACTTGCTGGAGAATCGCGGCTTTTGTCAGAGTTTCGCTTGTAGCACAGCGGGGCTGAAGATGAGATGGGACAGGGAAATCGCGGATTTTCCGATCGAGTTCGAGGATCGTGCGGTAGGTGGGTGTTTTGGCTCCAAATGCATTGACCATTACGTGGTGCAGGAGCCGCGAAAATTTCCACGACCACATATGTCCTAAGGAGATGGGTGAGGACAGTAAAGTACAATAACAAGAAACGCATACCACTCATCTCCTTTTCCCCTTTGTCGTTGACTACCGCGAAATCATCATTTGGGTAAGGAGTGTCGATCCAATCGGGAGAGACGTTTGGTGGGCGGCCAGCATAGAAACTCTAAAATATACGATGAGTGAGAAGTTACAGCACTAATTTGGATGGCGCACGATCCAGGTATCCAACATGAACATCTGCCAAAAGACGGAGCTGCGTTTTTGAACAACAGCGTCGCTAAGCTTCCACCTAGCGCCGGAAAGATCTTGAAGATGCCATCAGTCCCAGATAAATCGAGCGGGTAGCCTGAAAGACGTACGAACGCCAATCTAGGAAAATGAATAAGAGACTTGTGATATGTGGAGTGAAGGAACGAACCCTATAACCAAGTTTTACACCCAACCCAATGAACAAGTATGATCTGCTTGAATCCATCTGCAGGTCACTCATTTCCAGGTACTGCACAATGTGCAGCTAATGTGAATTTTTAGCATCTATACGCTAATTTCTCGCTCAGAGAAGAAACAGACCAGTGTGATAAGAGTATGGACGCTCGTTTCCGTGCAGGGGGAAGTGAAGTGCATCGACACGTGTGATAGAATATGATACTCCTGTGCCTCCACGGCGTAAGATGGCTTTTCAAAATCGAAGAGGGTGGCGAGAGCGAATATGCTGAACAGGAGCGAGAGATCATGAGGACCAGGTATTTCCTCATAACATCTGTTGGGTCCATGTGCTCAGGAGCGTAACATGGAATAAGCAGAAGAAGCCTACTTCGCATGATAAACACTTTGAAGGATATTATCAAAAAGTTCCGATCGTGTCAGGGGAGTCCACCTAGTAGGAGTTGTTAGGCATCGTTTTGTCACGAGTACATGAACATACAAGACTTTACCCCATTCAAGGTAAATCTCACTAAGGCGGACCGCCTCTGACAATGGAGGTAGATATGAATAGACAGGTTTCCAGAGGCCATTATCACTCGGGACACAGTCAGAACCAGGCAACCAAGCATCGAGGATCTGTTTCGAAAGTCGGGGAAAGGTTTCAGAAAAAGCAGGCTTTGGTTGTTGTTTCAGAGGTGGCTAAAAAAAACATCACATAAATGTTACAAAGCGGTCATGACAAACCCCACCTGAATGAGATACTACCAGGATGTTCAGCGGGTATGCATTACTTCTGAATGTAGGACTTACTTCTGAACGGGCGGTGCCGCCCATAAAAATGGTTTCTCCACGAGTGCCAATGGTGAGCGTGCCTATAACCGAAAATTAGCTACGTGCATCAACCACAAACTTCAATAAGCATCACCAAATGCATCTATGACAGAATCAGCATCAGCCTTATTCGAAGCTTGGGGCTGTTGTTCTGGAAAGTCACTGCCTGAGCTGGATTCTGGACTATCGTTTGAAATGACCGTATCGGTATCTGAAAGTAGCGGGTGCGGTAGATCGGACACTTTAGAATGCATTTGGCGGAGGGTTTCCTCGAGTTCACGCATTCGCGCTGACATGACTTCGATTTTGCTATGTAACTCCTCTGTATTTGCGAGCACAAGGCTGTGCAGATCTCAGAACAGCGAGATAGGAAACAAAAGGACCGCGTACCGATTGCCCTTTCCCGCTGTCAATGATCCTGAAGATGTTTGAGGCTTGAGAGATCTTATAAATCACGGAAAAAGCAAACCACTAGGACATATTGTGGAGCAGCCACGTTTTACGCAGGTCTCGCATGGAACCTACATGGCAAGTAAGTGAGCAATGGTCTGGTATCTAGTATGTTGTACAGAACAGAACCACGAACCTTGCGATCACAGCGAAGTTTGAGTCTGAATGAACGAGGGACACGAGCAAGGATCACAAATGGGTTCCGTCAAACATGTCGTCTAAATTGAGCGAAATTAAAACGCACCTTCTGCACTCTGCACAAGACGTGGGTACTCTGCCAGGTTTCTTCCTTTCCTTCTGCTCGCCATTCTTTAACTCTGTTGTCCTGGTCATTACGATGATAGCAAAAAGAAAGCAAGAATAGGAGCGCGAGTCTGCGTTGACATGACTAAGCAGGACTTTGAACATTTACATAGCCCTCGGCACCCGCTGAGTCGTAACCAATTGATGAGCACACGCCATCATGATCGCCCGGGACGTCATGATCACTTGGGTACAACGACTGCCGACCCCCATCATCATGCATGGAAACAATCGATATATATATACCAGAGTCTGGGAAGCACACAAGTAACAGCTATCGAACAATCAATCGAGTGCATCGGCTCTCATAACTCCCGAGTCACACGTGGCTCTGTTGTTCAAAGACCTCTGGCAAGCGGTCCTCCTCAGGCTCGTCTACTTACAGCACAGGATGTTGCAATAAGTGAAAGCATGAAGGTATTTTGAGTTTAATACCTGACTGTTGCAATACCTTCTCTTATATGCGCCTCTGTTTGCAGTGTCGCTCCAATAACATCTAGTACATTTTTAAACTTTGTCTATCAGAAGATAGCTGTCATTGCGCGCACGTTTTGATCAACATATTTGTCCAAGTACCGCTAGGAAGACGTAGGGAGGATATCGAGGCTATTGTCCTCAGGATAGCGCTAGAAGCCTCGGCCTACCTGTTTGAATAGACGGGGAACTCGAAGCATGCTAGCATATCATATCCTGTGAAAGATTTCGTTGCAATCTTTGTGCGCGCCGTCCACTGAAATAGTGCGGCGCTCGAGCTAACCATTTCGATAGTGACAGTTCGAACGTTCATCATGTGGTAAGGAGTTCCTTGAGTTGGCAGCTCAAGTCGCCAGCCAAACAATGACATAAGCCACTAAAGTTACGCTGCGTGCACTTCCTGAACCTTATCTTTTCTGGAAAGGTTCAGGGCTATTACTGTTAGCAATTTGGTGGCTTACCATACTGGGGCTGGCAAATTGACACTTTGAGCAAAGCAACGCCTTCGGTGCATGGGGTGGGCATTGTCGCCGCATTTCCGATCGATCTGGAGAGCTCGAGACTTGCAAGCTTGTGTACACTCTGAATCACGCTTCTGTAACGTGATACAGCATCGTTTCGAACCTCCTGTACTGCTGGCGAGACTATGTGATACCGCATTAATAGATCTGCCTTTCCTCGGATACCTGGCAATGTCTACATAGCGGATTCAAATTGTCAATGCCTCCAGCTCGGTAGTCGGCTTTCTCTACTAGACCAGTTCCTAAGGGATTAATTTTGAAATAAAACCGGCTATAAGCTGGCACTTCTTTAATAGGAAGCAAAGCTATGTGCACGTGAACGCCGCTGAAGTAGCGCTGAGAGAATTATAACTTGTTACAGACATTTTACATCCTTACATCTTGATGACATCTCGCGCTGGTGTTGCACTTCCGTTCAAGGATTTGAAGAGTACCTCGGCAGCCGTTTAACACTAGCAGCGATGTCAGACGTCTGCGCTTATTCGGGACCGGCAATATCGAGGAGACTAGCGGCAGGATCCAATTAATCGGTCGTTAATCGGTCCGGGAGAGAGGCGAGAAGAAGTGTGGGCCGCATCGTGGAAGGATCCACGGAAGCTTTTCTTACCCAAGAATATACGCTTTGATGTTGCGCCCTTCCGGCTCTTAAAAAGCCACCAGGTTTATAGATACCAGGCAAGGCCGCCATCCGGATTGTATCTTATCCCTCCCTATAGAACAAAACATGCAGCCATCGTTGCAGGGGAAGCCAGAACCCGCTCCACTGTTCACTGACTATCCTCAAAATGCTTCTTCAATTTCCAGCCGGCAAGATACATTGAATCCTTGTGACGAGATTCTACCTCCTGCACATACCAACAGAACGCTGGTGTTGTGTTTGTACGTTGTTCTTGATAAAACGCTTTCATCATTGACTGACTGTCCTGTTGAGTGATGGAACCGGTGACCAGGTCAGCCCACATCGTTTTCTTATAGCGCTTAATGGCTCATCATCCTCGGTGAACAGTTTGATACAGATGTATGTTCCAGTTTGTTCCTAGAGTGTCCTTCGGACCTGACTAGCCATTCAGAACTCGAACATTGTCCAGCTATTCAGCATGCTCGTCAAGGACAGTCCCGCTCTGCAGATGGTCTATTATCAGGTAATATTAAACAGTATTTGGACTGAACTCGGCTTACCTATGGCATACCATACATAGGCCGGTATAGGAACGTACACTATACCGGAAATGGCTACACCCGCGATGGCCAAGCTTTCCAAGACTGTTGACATGATGATTGGATCTCATCTCAACGCTCATGTGATGGGTCAGTCATCCTTAACCCCTTCTATCTTCTGGACAGTTACTAATTTCAAATAGGAGGATACGAGTTTCTCATGCAGAATTGTAAAGTTAGAACGCGCATCCTCACGTGACGCGACTAATTTTAGCTCTTGCAGATGACGCTGGTGATAAGATATGCATCTTCGGGTTCTCAAGAGGCGCATACACAGCGCGCGCGCTTGCTGGAATGTAAGTTTCCCCAAATCGTTGGCGGTCATAGCTCCAACATATCATACTTGCAGGATCCACAAAGTCGGACTTTTACCCCGCTGCAATCATCAACAGGTTCCTTTTGCCTACAATATGTATAGCCGTGATGACGAAGAAGGTTGGGCACTAAGCTCTAAATTCAAGAAGGCTTTCTCCATCAACGTGGACATCGAATTTGTTGGTGTTTGGTACGTTCGTGGCGCTGGTTTGGAATGAGCTATGATCTAAACTCCATTTTGTGAATAGGGATACCGTCAGCTCAGTAGGACTCATCCCTAAACGACTCCCATTTACGAAGGCGAACGACAGTATCAAGTACTTCCGTCACGCAATTTCTCTTGACGAACATCGGGTGTATGTGTCTCAAATTTCTTTTCAGCGATTCGCCATCTAATTTGCAATGTGCAGGCGCTTCAAGCCGAGTCTTTGGATACGCGCGACCGAGGACCACAAGAAGTGTGGTGTTCAACGTGAACACATGCCTCGCCCCTTCAAGAAGTTTATCCCGAAAGTGCAGGAACTCCACAGTCGAAATAGCCCAGACAGCGAAGCAACCAAGAAGTCACATCACCGTCACGAGTCTCAGGATCAAATGGAGCAATTGTTTGCAACTGCAGACGCGGAGCCCATCAGGGAGACGGACGTCGATGAGGTTTGGTTTGCTGGGTGTCACTGCGGTAAGAACCTTGTGTTCGGCAAAGTACAGTTCTAATCACAAAGCAGACGTCGGCGGAGGTTCTGTCCAGAACGGTACCCGCAATAGCCTAGCTCGTATACCGCTTCGGTGGATGATTCGAGAATTGTTCAAGCTTGATATCGGTATCATCTTCCACCGGAACATGTTCACAAAAATTGGCATGGATCCCAAGACGCTCTACCCTGTATCCGTAGCTAGGCAGCCTCGGCCTCCTCCGATATATCAAACTCCGCCTGCCCCATCTGGCTCGGGGAAATTGACGATCAAGGACCGTACGACTCCAAAACCTCAAATCGTCACCGATGATCCTGCGATGATCGTCTATAGTGACGGTTCTGCATTCGTGAGCGAGGAACTTGAAGACTTGGCTGACGCTACCTGCCCAATGTATGACCAACTCCGCCTTGCACGTTATTGGTGGATTCTGGAGGTCATTCCACAAATGCTTCACTACCAGGATGACAAGAGCAACAATCTGGTTGACGAGTACACGTGCGTCATCTCGTGCTTTATTTATTATCATGCTGACTTTGATGGAAGGGTCAACATGGGGCGTGGCCGGCACATTCAGCGCCAAAGCCATGGCATCAAAATACATAGGAGTGTCAAGATTCGCATGGAGGCGGATAACCTTACAGGTGGAAAATATTGGCCCAAGGCGAAACTAAAGGTGGAGCCTCAATGGATTGACTGAGCTGTTCCGACACGATTCACATTTATGCGCTTGGCCTTCTTGTTTCTGGCCTGTAATACGGCTTCGTGATATATTGTATGCCTGTACGTAGTACGTAGTGGATGACCTTGGAATGACCTATTCTCTTGACTGTGTCCGTTCATGTTTGTGCACGGTGTGGTTGTGTTACGTCACGATCATAATATTAAGGTGAGTACATTATGCAGGAAGAAACTGTCTTCCTCGATTGACAAAATATCCTAGGGGTTACTGACGCGGGCTAGCTCAAACCGGTGGACTGTCTCGGTCACCTCCATGTGCTCGATCGATTGTCAGGAAGGCAAGAGTACATGGTTTGATCGTCGGCTTAGAATGTTGGTGAGAGTCCTCCAAGTAGGTACCAGCTCTCCTACGCGGCACTTTCAGATCTATGGGTTTCAGGTCTTCTCAGACTTGAGCAAAACTTATTTGATCTTGTGATGGGAATGTCGACTTGTAAGTGACTTGTCTCCGATGTTCAATTCGGAGGTATTGCTTCCCAGAGACTGAGCGGTGATTGCATAGCGGCGATATCGTCCACGGTAGACATACATCCTGTGAGTCCTACCGTCACTTTCCATCGACAAGTTCGCTTGAGCGCCGCAGCCAAATCAACGCCGGGGCGAAATCAAGATATTTCTGATCGGCTGTCCCCTGCCGCTTGACGCCGTTTAATTACCAGACGACGTCCCCTTTTTCGCAGATCATCGATTACGCGCGACGGAACCATATAAAGCGTTGCGGTACCGTGGAATACTATTCTCGTTTTCTTGACATGGCAAGTGGAACACACCTTTTCTTTCGGTATGTTTTCTGCGTGGTCTCTTGGCACATACGTCAGACGCAGGGCCGGCAGCGCTGAAGTTGAAGTTGGTTCTCTGTACCTTGCCTTTCGCCGGCGGAAGACCCTCTGGTGCTGTGGCTGAATATTGAATGACGGATGGACCTGGCTGTCACGGTAAGTTCACCTTCCGCTTAACATATTCCGTGCCTCATCACCGACGAAGGTAATAGCGCCAGGCACAACCTGTACAATTGCAAGAACGCAGATATGATATGTCATGGCCCTGGATCGTCATACCCGTCGGATCTGGTTTCCCATACTCTGCATGTAACGTTGATCATTGGGGTTTCCCAATACTACCCCTGGCATTATACACTGTCTGCCCCGGGCCCGGCCTTTTCGACCACAGAGAGACTTCTTCAATTGATATTGCGGAACAAGTGCGTCCACTAGAAAACTTGGTTCTTGAGTGGTGACGTCGAGGACACATATAATGGGTT